GAATGGGTGTTTCAAGATGATGAGGTTTTTTCTTTGTGTGTGTGGACGAGGCCCGAAGTGGGGGACCTTGGCTTGGTATTGGGGAGAAGTTTTGGGGTCAAGGAGATAGGTAGCCATGTAGGCGAGGGAGGCGGGTGGTGCGATGGTCGCAGAAGCGATGCAGGAGGACGCAGCGGTAGTATTGTTGACATGACATGGAAGCAGACGTGGTAGTAACATCGATTTCCACTAGATAGTAAGAACAACACAAAACACAAAGAATCTACTCCGCCATAATATGCTCCAAAAGCAATCATGCAACATGTACATCGTCCCCCACCCCCAGATAGTCCCAGTACAATGATAGAAATACACAAAGGTATCAAATCCGCGAAAGTAGACTCCAAAAGCGCCGAGCCCGGAACACCGACGCTTATCCGTGTGCGTAGAGAATGCGTAGTTTTGCGTGAAGAACGATGGAGATGGAAACCAAGCCTAAAGACAGAGTATGATCATACGCGTATTTGACCAAGCTCAATCTCGCGCCTCCGCTCTTCTCGGCTGAGGTTGCGCGAGTGACTGCCTCGTCCCTCTGTACTGGACGGGCGGTTCTCGCTTCGTCCGCGGCCATATTGTGTCCATTGTTCGCTGAGACTATCGGGTCTGCTGTCTGATCGGTCGCGTCCCCATTCGCCATGTGTTTGTGCAGGCGTGCCCACCAACTCCTGACTGCGCTGGTGCCTTGCCTGTTGTTCCCTGTCTTCTGGCAGGTCTATTCTGAACGTAGTGTTTATGTCGGGACTCGGCCGCGGGTCTCCTGATTTGAGGAGGAGAGCCATTTGCTGGTTCACGCGGTCGTCTTCGGAGTATAGGGCGGCGGGTGGCTGCGAGGGCGAGCGCATGGCGGTGGGGTACATGTTTGGGATGAAGTTGTTGTAGTAGTTTTGATCGGACCAGAGGTTCTGGCGCGTGTCGGTTTGTCGCTTGGACTTGACTATGCGGCGGTATGTCCAGAGGAGGAGGGAACTGTAGAGGATTGTTCCGGCGGCGCTGATGACGGTGCCGCTAATGGCGGCATTCCCCCAGTGGTAGTTGGGCGAGGAGACGAAGTTGTAGGCTATCGAGATAAGGCCGAGTGCGGAGGATGTGAGCGCAGGCCTACACATATGGTTAGTATTCCGCTGTTGGTGGAGGCATGGAGGCCTTACAGGAAGACGCCGTCGGCTTGGAAGCGCTCATTGCGACAGGCGAAGCAGAGCAGTGCTGTGAACGAGTAGCCGGCTGTAAGGAGCGCGACAACAAAGACAGATAGGACTGCTCGGCTGAACTTGAGCTCGTAGTCTTTTCTGTAGAGGCCGGGCAGTATGAGGTAGCTTCGAGGCGTTAGCATGCTTTCGTCTGGGCCGCCTCGAGACGCATCGCAAGCACTCACCCTCCGAGTATCATCCATGACGCAGCCAGGGCTATAAGGCGCCAGTACCACGGCGTGCCCTCTCTCTTCTCATGGCCCGACTCGCTGATGTTGTGATAGCTCTTGTTGCTAGAGCGCATTGAGTCGGTGGTTCGCGCCTTGCGCGGCGGGGTGCCTGGTTCGCGTCTCGGGTAGTGCCTGGCGTCTCTGCTATGACTCTCGCGCAGTGGGAGCGAGCAACCAAGAAGACGTCGGCATGCAGAGCAGAAGCGCGCGAACGATGAATAAACGAGTGACTGTAGCAAACGTCGGGTCTAGTTATGGTCGAATTCCAGAATGCGATATGAGCCTCACTGGCGCCTGGCTGTCTGCTATTCAGCCTGACGCGGTGCAGATCGCTTCGGTCCGTCAAGTGCAGGTGGATAGCCGGGGCGAAGCGGCAGGTGCACGGCGCAATGGTTCCAGCTGGTGGGAAAAACAACAACGAGCGACCAGAACAAGATGCTGTTCGTTCTTATTGAATAGCAATGAGAGCAGAGCAGTAGCGAGCGAAGACGTGGGCTGAACGGGCGGTGGGAGAAGAGGGCGCCAACGTGCTCGTACTTCGCTGAGGCGGAGGACGCCTGCATGCCCGCTCAGCCACTCGACGTCCTGCTGAGCATTGCTGCACCCCTGCCGACATGCCCCCCGTAGATCAACATGGCAGTGAGCATCTTCAATGCAGTGCATTTGACATCGCAATAAAGACTTGCTTGTAGATCAACGGCGTGGCCTCTCGTCGCGACCATCGCGACTTCTTCCGACGCTCCAACAACACCATGAATCAAGGCATCCAGTCCGCGACTCCGCTTCTCTTTGTCTCTCCCGCCTGCCCAGGGCGACCCCAGATTCCAGAACGCGTCACCTCCAATTCCCAGCCAAGCCCTCTGCCCATGTCTGCTCAATCTCGCTGACCCGCGCCGCACCTTGGGTAGTGCAGCTTACTCTATGAGCCACCGCTTCTTCTGTGATTTGCCTGCTTCCATCCTTCACTTTCCCTTCTGTTGCAGCGCTAGCGACTCTGTGCTCTCCGGTAGACACTGTTGCCGGTCAGACATGACGTCGTCGCTCCTATCGCAATGGGAAATGTTGCGACCTCATCATTGACCTTTTGTCATGGTGTTGCGAGTTGTTGGCGGTATGAGTCGGGGTCATGGCACGGGCAGTCTGCCTGGGTTGGTGTCTACGCGGTTCCGCCTACAATAGAACAAGTCCAACGGCACAGCGTCAGACTATTGATCTTGAGCAAAAGCGCATCGCGTCTGGACTCTGTTATATTGCAGGACGCTCGCTCGCAGATTTGAGAGATTCACACTCGTCGCGTATAGCAACTCTAGGCCTACAGCCTATTGCATAGCCTCGCGCACGTAGTAACCCAGCGCTACATCGTGGCATAGTACAACATCACACGCCACGACAATGCTGTTCCACGCCGATAGGTTACGGCATGAGCCGACGGTTCAGCCTCCACGATACCCGGATGATGGTGACGGACATGCGCGAATGGGCGTCAACACTGCCTTTTCTGGCAAACATCTTGTGCGCGCTCCCCTCCCCACCTAGGCAGATTTGATAGATCTGCATATGTCTTGCGATGAGAACATACTGCACCTTTCGTGACTCAACTTGAATTGATAAAATAATGTGTCGTTCCCTCGATTTCCGTTCTACACAATACACGTATGCGTATGTGGCAAGATGCGGTATCATTCGCGATGCTGATCCGCGCACCTGGTTCGAGCTGCAGGGGCAGCTTCCAGTGCCTCACATGGGCATGCGTGTCATCGGTAAAACCACACCGCATCTTACCTTGCCCACTCATCAACTGTAGGTCGTTCCGCGATCTCACTGCCTGAAGATTCGGGATCGTTTCATTCGGGGTCTCCACTAAGAGACCCGTCGGCGCTTCGGGTTCAGGGGCAAGACATTTGCGTTGATGTCGGATAGTCCGAGGAACACTTGATGAGGATGAGACGTGATGATTGAAGCAGGTAGCGGTTATCGATCTTGTCGCTGTTGTGACGTTTGCGGGTGTTTGTCACGGATTTGCGAGTGCCGAGAATTTGGGGCTGGGAATGCAGGTGCCACCGGTCCGGTTCATGCCCCACCTGCAAGCGGGAACCACGTCTTTTTTTCCATTCGATTCCTTCTGCGTAGACTAGCACGACTCAGCGCTTGAGGCACAGACAACGCACGAAAGATATATATTACATTGTTGACTTAACTCCCATCGATCCACCTACTCAACCATCTAGTTGATCAATCTTCAGTAGTATAGTGGTCAGTATTTCCGCTTGTCACCTATCAGGCAACTCGCGGGAGACCGGGGTTCAATTCCCCGCTGGAGAGCTCATTTTTTGCTTTTGCCCACGGCTTGCATCATAGGGTCGGGCCTAGGGGCAATCAGGATGGGAGTCGGTTGTGGCCTGCCACTTCTTAACCTCAACCACCACAACTCCCTACCTCGCCGGCCATTACAACGCGACGACTGCCTTATATCTTTTTGAACATCAACAGTGCTGTCTCAGTATGTTATCGGAGCTGAGAGTACTTCTGCAGTACACGCGACGCGGACCAGCATGCCACTTTTTGCTGCGCTGTGCGGACAAATGCCACTACATCTGGTCAGCTTCTTGACACGATTGACTCCTTATATCATCATCTCGTCGGGGCATCGACCTACGCAAATCCATTCAAATGCTGCTATCGTCATGATCGGACGCGAAGAAGCTTTTCTGAAGCCTCGAAGGTCTCGTTAGCTGCATTTGGTCTTCCCATGTGGAGGAACCTCTGGTCGCACACCTAGCACGCAGTTCAAATTGTCCGAACACTCCATGGCAGGTCTTCGATATCATGCGGTTTTCGTTTCTCTTCGACGCTCGACGAATCAATAACACCACGAGTCCACTCTGCTTCTGGATCGAAGTGAATCTTAGACGCACCGCAGGTGAATCACAGCTGGCGGTATTAAACACAGTGTTGACCATGCCAGACGCAATCGCCCGCAAGGTGATGCGGACCCTATGAGACTGAGCTGAAGCAGTGTAACTCAAAGTTGCATTGTTTCTATACAACTCCTAGCGCAGAGAGTTAAGGTGTGATTCGAGAGACGACCTTGTCCAAAAGTACCTGGCGTGTGCGGACGAGTCCACTATCCTGCAGGTGGTCTTCGCGTTGTCAGTGAAAGCTAATAACCGTCACCTGTTGTCTCATTAACGCATAGTCGGGTCACGGTCTAGCTTTCTGTCACTAACTCAAGCACGAGCTCCATTCACGCCTGGTCTGAGCGTTTAGTGGAGTTTTACACGCCTCACTCATATAAACACCCCCTTTTGGTGAGCAACTCTCACTATACCAGCTTTCTTCCCTACTTTCGTACAGGCAGATCTAAGTAACACATTCAGTTCCACCCCTACGGCGCAACTGGTCCGTCACACTCAACCCACATTCTTGAACTACCTGCTCACTGTTTCAGACACCTTTGTTCACAAGCCCTCTCGAACCCAACTACACCTAGCCACATAAGAACAAGACCAAAAGGTTTCAACCAGTCACTTACGCAGTTAACAAGATGTCTGCTACCAACATCGCCCCTAATGCCTCTGATGCCGTCGCCGTGGACAGCACTAACACCAACACTCCTGTTGACGCCAAACAAGAAGCTCTCAAGAAGATAGCTGCGGAGAAAGAGGCCAAGCGCATCGAAAATGTTGCCATCCAGAAGAAGAAGCTCGAAGCTGCTAAGCAAAAGGCGGCGCAAGAGTTGATGTCTAAGGGCAAGAACGCGGTCCTCAAGGCTCAGGCTAACCGGCCTTCACGACGACCGGCGAAGAAAAACCGGAAACCGCTTCCACCTCCTGCCAATCGGACTCACGAGATCGAAGCGACTATGGAGAAGACGAAAGCTAGCGCTGAAGAGAAGCGTCTTGCCCCTCTGCGGGTTGTTCGCCCAAGCTACAGCTACAGCGACATCGTTGAGCAGCGCGTTGTCGACGGCGTCGTTAAGCGGATTACTCATACCAACCGTTCTGTCCATGAGCCTTGCTCCGCCCACGTTCACGGCGACGGCATTGATCAGCGCATGGCAGACAGCGTCACTGAACCTACCTTCCAGCCCGCTGATGCGCCCGAGACTGCCCAGTCTGACACCGACGTTGAGTCAGATAAGGTCACGGAACCTGATACTGAGTCAGACGAAGACGCTCCTCAGCTAGTTCAAGAGCTTGCCTCTCCTGAGCAGGTCACTGTCCCTGAAGACGACGACGACTTTGCCGAAGCTTCCAGTATCACTGCACTACCCCACATCTACATCACTGCTCCGACACATGATGCGGATGAGGAACCTCCGATGACTGAAGATCTGGCTGAGGCAATTGACACGTCGTCCGAACCCATCATGGCAAACGTCTCTGAGGAGTCGACTTGTAGCCCTTCGGCAATTCTATCGATGCCAAACTCGACTCTTTACCCTTCGCGCCTATCCCGCGACGAAGAGGCTAAGTTGGTCGCTTTGCACGTCGCGCCCATCGTACTGCCGGTCGCTGAAGCCAAGCAGCAGAAGCTTAGCAAGGCTGAGAAGAAGGCCGCTAAGACATCTGAGGCATCTAAGGAGGTGGCCACGACGAAGTCCGATGTGGTTCAAAAGCTTCCCGAAACCGACTCTGTTGAGACTACGATGGATAATGTCGACCCAATTGTCATAGCAGAAGAACACACATACGTCACAACACTTCTGGCGAGGCCCAATGGCTCTGGTGTGACCACAGAGTCTCGCGACCTTCACGAGAAGCTCGCCGCGCTTCATGTCGCTCCACCTTCGCTGCCAGTCACTTCTCACAAGCAGCAAAAGATCCCAACAGCCAAGTCAAAAGCTACCAAAGCTGACCAGAAGAAGACTGTCACTATTGAAGAAAAAGAGCAGGACTTTGTCGCGTCTCTTCTCTCCAAGTCTAATAGCTCTGGCGTACCCAAGGAGTCTCGCGACTTTCATGAGAAGCTGGTTGCGCTTCATATCACTCCTCTCTCGGTGCCGGCCATTGCGCCCAAGCAGCAAAAGGCCTCAAAGACAAAGCAGAAGGTTATTAAACTTGATAAGAAGAAGTCCGTCGCTACGGAGAAGAAAGAGCCCGACTTCGTCGCCTCTCTTCTCTGCAAGCCCAACGGTCCGGGTGAGACCAAAGAAACCCGCGACTTTCACAACAGTCTTGTAGCTATACATGTAGCGCCAATCGAAGTTCCGGTTCCCATACAACAGGATAAGGATAAGAAATCTGAGAAGGCCAACAGGTATATTGAGACTTGGACCGCTGACCCTGATGCCGTTGATCCACTGATCAGCAGCATGGTTCCTCCCATTACTGAGGAGCCTACCCCTGCTGTTGAGGAGCTGGGTACAGAGGATGCAACGCGCGACGAGCCGTCTGTCGTCGTTGCGACTCCTATCCATGGGTTCTGGCAAACCGTTCTTTCCAAACCCACTGCCACCGAAGCCGCCACCGTCGAGCAGACCGTCATAATCCCCGACTCCGCCCCAACCACCTCCTCCCACGACGACTCTTCCTCCTCCCCCTCCTCCATCAACCCCTTCAGAACCCGCAGTCGCTCCTCAACCCACTCCACCCCGTCCATCCTTCGCGCAGCCTCAAAAGCACGCACAACCCTCCTCGGCGGCACATCCCTAGAAACCTTCATCACCACCCTCGACTTCGAACTCTGGGACGGCACAACGACCAAAGACGACATCTGCGAGGCTTTCGCTTCCCTATCTACTCACCCCACTCCCACAATTACTGGTCTAGATACCGCCAAGATCCAGCGGAAGATCAAGCTAGGTAGTACTTCGCTGTACGCGTTCCTGCATCAGATCACGTTCATGGAGGATGACGTGACGGTTGTGGGGGAGGTGATGAGGGTGTTTAGGAAGGCGGCGAGGGAGCAGGTGACGGAAACGAAATTGGAGGTTGCGCTGTGGCTTGCGGAGGAGACGGATGAGGGGGAGGGGAGGAGGCGGGGGAGGCGCGAGGAGCGGGCTTCTATGGCTGGTGGGGTTTAGGTGCGACGGTGTGGAGGTGGTTTGGGTACTCCGGAGATGGTGTGGGTAGTTTGGCTGCTCCTTTCCTTTTCTTTTCTTCCCAAAAGTTCTGCACGGGTATTTTTCATTGTTGTTGTAATGGGGCGGGTTATCATGGTTTGAGCGAGGCGTTGGGGACGACGTTTTCATATTACTATCGTCGCTCTAGGGTACCGAAGCGTGTCCTCCACGTTGGTTGAGCTTTAGGCTTCGACTCACCTGGCGCCGGGTTCGAGTTGTCTTGTCGCTCCCTACTGTGGGTACTCACTTAGCTATCCCAAGAGGCTGATGATCATTTGGTCGAAGTTAGAATTTGTGCAAGGAAACATAGGTATTAATTCAAGTGTACAACTTTACATGCTATACGAAGAGGGTGAAAACAATGCGATCGTGAATGTGACAGTTGTAACTTGTTAGTATATTGAGAGATGATTAGACGTGCACATGCATGAGAAAAGAGCTTTGTGTTCATAACTTCATTCATATACATCCAGCAACACTATTGATGTGTGCGATGCTATATACAGGGTATTCGTACGACTGCCTTAGTGGCTTAGACCTTCTGCTCCACACGGTGAGTCTGTTGCTCAGCACCACCAGCATTCTCCATCTGGTACTCAACAGCCTTCTCACCCGACTCATCCATAATCTCAGCCATGCCACCAGAGCCCTTGGTAAGCTCGGCACCCTTGCGACCAATAAGGTGCCAAGGAAGGTTGAACATCTCGTCGAGAGATTCGAGCGACTTTCCAGAAGTCTCAGGCAGGAAGAAGTACACCCAGACGAGACCGACGGCGGTGACGCAGGAGAAGAACAGCATGGTACCTCCGTGGGTCATGGAAATGAACATGAGAGGTACAGCCTTGGAATTACCGTACTGGTTGACAAAGTGGAATGTCATGGCGATGGAACCACCAAGAGCACGGAGACGGAGGGGGTAGATCTCGGAGTTGATGAGGTACTGGATCGAGTTCCATCCGAGCGCCCAACCGAAACCGGAGAAGTAGATCATGACGATGGCACCCATGGCAGCGTGCTTTTGGCTGGAGCTCTGGGGTACGCCATCGGCAACGCCGGTGTCGATGAGTAGGAAGATGGCCATGTAGAGCATGGATAGGAGTTGGAGTGTGATACCGGTGGCGAGAGAGCGCTTGCGGCCGAGGAAGTCGATGAGGAAGAAGGCGCAGATCATGGAACTGACAAACTTGACGACACCGAAGATGGCTGTAGCAAACAGCTTCTCTTGTTGACCGCTCGTGCCCATCATTTCAAAGTACTTGGGTGCGTAGCTGGAAGTCGTGTTAGTCATGTGCGCGAGGCATGGGATCTGAGTGTCAAACTTACATTGTGATGGAATTGGCTCCCGACCACTGCGATAGCAACTGCGACAGGACAGAGAGCTGAAGACGGTAGAGGTTGGCCTTGCTGGAAAAGAGCTCCCGGATGGGTCCGAGCCAAGATGTACCCATAGTGGCTTCGCGTTCGCGGTTGAGCTGGTCGTTTATGTCCATAATCTCCGAGGTGACGTAAGGGTGGTCAGCGGGGAGGTTGCGGAGTTGGGCGAGGTTGTCGAGGGCCTCCTCGTGGCGGCCGACCTTGATCAACCAACGGGAACTCTCTTTGGCGAACCAAGAGAGGGTGAAGATGAGACCGGCGAACATGATGTGCATGCTGTTGGGTACGAGCCATTGAGCATCAGTGGCAGACGAGATGTGGATGGAGGAACCCCAGGATGCGAAGTAGGCGAGCATGATACCGATGTAGACTGATCCAGCGAAAGCGCAGACACAGAGACCACGAATGGCCCTGGGCGCAGTCTCGGCCAGGTAGGTGGGAGCAACGACGGTGGTCTGTCCGATGCCGATACCAGCAATGAAGCGGCCGGCGTAGATTTGTCCAACGGAACCAGTGATAGAGCTGGTGAGGAAGATGACGATGCCGATAACCCAAACGATGCAAAGTTGGCGAGTAGCCCAGAGGCGACCAATCTTGTCGGTGATGAAGAAGGCAATCAGGGAACCCAAGATGGAACCCATCTGCACCATGGATGTGATGTTCGATAGGAGCTCTGCGATCTCGTGTTCGCTCTTGCTGCCGTCTTCTTCGAGTCCGAACTTGCGTTTGAAGGGGTCGAGTTCGGCTGTAGTACCGATGAGGCCTTCGTCGATACCACGAGCAGCGCCCATGAGACCGAAGACTAGGACGAGTTAGTTGGGTGTAGTCATATGGGAGGTGAGATAACCTACCGAAGACACCATACCAGAGACGCCAGTTAAGGCTCTCCTTGGGAGTGTGCTTCAAGTTCTCCTTCCATGGGTTCCAAACGACCATGATGGGCGATATTGGTATAGGTGGATCGGAGTAAGGTCGTGATTGAGCTGCGGAACCTACGTCTGTCGGACAGGGAGGAAAGGCAGTGACGACTCAACTGTTCAAAGGCGCATGTGCCTCTTATACTTGAACTGATGGTGGGGTACGAGATGCGGAGATCCTAGATGCAAGGCCTGCTAAATCACACCATCCATGAGACCCCAGAGTCAACCCCGGAAGCCTCTACTCCACGTTTGTCCATCGCCAGTAGCGGTCGGCGTCGGTCTTCCGAGCCAGGAATGCCGGATGACCTTCCCAACTGTGGTTTTCCCAACGTTCAATAGGTCGACCCGTCTCGTCGGCCATTGCAGGCGTTGGAACTAACCCTCGCGCAGTAAGCGGACCGCTGATCGTCTGATCAATTACCGATCAAGCGGCCACGCCGGTCGCCTCTCGTGTCTCTCACGGCAGCGCCATCTGCACGTAGGTTACATGCCCAGTAAGGAGGCGGAAAGGTTGGCAGGCTTAGGTGGAGAAAGCTTCCTTGTTCGTGCGTCTTGTGGAGCTTGGGGCCGAGCTAAGGACGAGTCAAGAACCTGGCCACCACACGATGGGAACCCCGCATTATCCCCCAAACGCTCTCGTGTCCCGGATTTCTCTTGGTCTCCCACGTTAGCTGTCAGTCGAGGAAGAGAAGCTTGTCAAGCTCCTCGTAGCGGCCGGGGAGGTGCCGTAAATGCATGCCGCGCTATTGGCTGGTACCATCCCGGGAAAATCTCGCACGCGGGATAAATTACTACGCTATTCTGACGCTGCCTCGCGACGAGACCGTTCGCCGGCAGAATTATGACCGAGAGGAGCGTCGGAGCAGGGTATCGGCTTCTGAGGTTAAGCTCCTGGACGAGACCTCGTCTCGCGGCGGTGTGTCGACACAAGCGATGCGGCTCCAACTCCTTCAGCCTTTTCCAGTAGCGCCCGCGTTGTGACTACCCCAAATGGTATCCCGTCCCTCCAATGCATCTGCCGTGGGGACTACACTATCGGACATAGATACGGCGCATGCAAGATATTTTGGTAGGACTAACGGTACGCAGGTGTGAAAATGTGTCGCTTCTTCGGTCGCTCTGGCGCTGATACGAGTCCTGGTTGTCGGAGCCTCTGATGGGTCGTAGGACAATGATCCGACTCTTGGCTCTGTACTTGGCTCTGTACCCCAAAGTCCAGCAGGAAGGTTGTATTCTGCCGTAGTGGCAGCTGGATCGTTGAACCCACAACGGCAAGCACAACATCTCCAAGCGCTTTGTTGTCTTGACGAAAGCCCAGACCGCCGGGGTTCTTCTCGTCTCCACCAAGCTTTGCATTCGCAGTGCATCTTGTCATGCGATGCGAAGAAACAGACAGGTCTAGAGGTGTGATACGTCCACCACCCCCGGTCGGAGCTCCGAGTGTTATCGGTGCGAGCGCAGGCGCTTTGACTTGGGGTCTCCACACACACGAGGTGCGCGTGAGATGGTTAGCGAAGACCAAGATTGCCATGCCTTCACCAAGTGCTTGTGAACAGCGCAAGCCGTTGTGCCAAAGGACGCCCAAGTGCTTGTCCTACACGTCAACAGAGCAACATTCTTGCTACATCGTATCTTTCGTAGGCATCATCGAGGCCATGTCCTCTCCTCTGAAGCGCTGCGATAAATTTGAAAATCATGCGGGCATCCTTCTGGTCCACAGCGGGCGAGATTGATCGGCTGGTCGGCGATGCCAGTGGGTCTAATCCTTCCTCTTATGCATCGTGTATACAAACGGCTACCGTCGAAGCCACAAGACTCCAAGTGTCGGTGATTGCCGTGCATGAGACATCTACTGAGGTGGTGTTGTGTTCAATTCCCGTTGACGGCTAGGTCGCCCTCAACAGACATTGGCTTTCGTTCAACACATCCATCCAGACATCGTGTGCGTATGTCCGCGGGCGGAGGTGTTGGATGATCGGGTGGATACGGACGCTGACAAACGCCTCTGAACTGATTAGCCGCCTTGGAAAGCATATGGGGTGGAAAGCACGCACTTACGAGCTCATTGTGGGTATCAACCAAGACGGACCAAGGCGCCAATGTTGGGGATAAGACCCATTTATACGTCTTGTAATCACGACAACTGATTCAAGCCGTGCGGAGAAATGGGACCCGGGGTACGAGGTTCACATGTCACTCTGACAGGGCGCCTGAAGGGTCCTCTACGGTTATCCGGAACTAGTTGTGGGGAGAGTGTGACTGAACGTTAGATCTGGGGTGGTGGGAAAATGTCGGTGTGTTGGCGGCAAATGAGATGGCGAGATGTTTGTACCTAGGTAAGCGGCAGTTAGGCGATGAAGCACGTGTTGATGATATGCCGTGGCCCCGAGGGAAGTGACAACCAGGGAGTAGGCGCGATGAAGTGAAGGACAATCTAAGGTAGGTGCGATAAGACCACGGCTGCGCAACAGTGCGCGATGATGAGCACGTCGCGCCTTCAGTTCAGAACGTAAGTGAGTGTAATTATTTTTTCTATACCTGCACTGCCTTGGTATCGAATTGACTGCAGAACTGTTGGCACACCGATGTCGTGCCATTATGTCGACATCGTGCCCGGGTTCCCGGAAAAGGCAACCGCGGACCCTCTATGCCGAGTTCGCTCAATCC